CAAGCATTGTTTTTAACTCATTCTGATATTTCAAAGAAGTAGCAGGTGCTACTAGTTTGCTCACATCAACGCTTAGACGACGGCTTTTACGAAACCCACCAAATCACACACTAACGCATGATCGGAGTCCAGGCATGTGCTCCAGAAGGAGCGACAGTCTTGTATGCATCCTCGCCACCGGAAACTGACCGCAAAATGATCAATCTGAGTCCAAGCTTGCTTCGCAGAGGGAGGACGCCAGGTAGCGCTACGGCGATGGTTGTGCCGGAAGTTGGTGCTGGCTAGAAATAGGTTGTTTGCCGCACAAAGCTGCAGAAGACGGTCCCCATTATCTGACCTGAGACCAAGAACACCCCATTGACCACCTAGACGATTCTCCTCTGAGCTTACACGCCCGACCTGTGCATTCAAGTCCTCAACTAGCACTACGATATCCCTCCGACCCGTCTGTTTCAAGAGATCGCTAAGTTGGTGGTAGAACTCATCCTTCATTGCATCCGGGCTGCAATCCGTCGGTGCATAGGCAGAGACAACAAATAGACACCGCCTATTTGGCCTACTACTCCTTACTTTCGTATAACCTTCCAGCCTCACAGCACATAAACGACTGTTAATAAGAATCCAGTCGAGCAATGCAGCTTCGGCTCTAGCGCTCAGTGCGACACCGACACCAGCTCTGCCGGATGCCGACGCCACAGGGTCCCCGGACAAGCGCAGGTGGTACATACTACTAGAACTTCTAGATGGAGAGAATAATCGAAGCACTTCACTGGGATCTTGAATGCGAGTCTCCGAAATACAGATAATATCGATAGCGAGGCTTTCCAAAGTTCTTACCAACCCTGCCTGTTGTCCGATTCGCATCAACGTCCGAACATTGTAGGTGCCCAGCTTGAACGCGGCACGTGGTTCCAGGATATCTGTGTTAGATGTCACATTGGGGACAGCCGTTTTGAGGGTTACTCACCAACATCTCGAAACGACATAGACAGGGTGGGAATCCAGACAAAGGCGAAAGGCTGTCGAAGGTTGAGAAGTCAAGGTTAGCAAGGGTAAAATACAAGAATCTAAGTATAAAATTAAAAGTAAGGTTGGAAGGACATAAGTTGTTTGAGGGATCATTATTGCTTGAAATCATTTTTACTAGCTCGCAATGAATTTCAATGAGAGTTTGTTGTTTTACTTCATTTGTTGTGTGAGGGCTGAGATACTGCCCGGGCGCCCAGACCGAAGCAGGTGGTTTTATAAAGGGACCACCCCCCGAGCCTTTGACTTGGAGTCTAATCCACAAGGCAGCGGAGCAGCGTCGGGAGCTGCATTCCCATGGTTTTCGGTGACCCATATAGGTTCATACGCCATTTAATCCGGTTGGATTCTGGAGCTCATGTACCCCATGGTAACTGCCCCTAGTTTAACCGCTATCCAAACAACATTCCTGACATGGTAGGACCTAGGACATGAGTCCCAGGCAGTTTAGATTGTTGGGTGACTACGGTATTCAAGTCCCACCACCACGGCAAGGTAGCAGTTGTCGGTCGGGAGCAGACATGAAATTAGGTTGGAAGAGTTACGGGTGATCAAAGCACAACATGATATCAATCGCTGAAGTCTCTTCACACACTTATTCCCCTTTATGAATTTGAATAAACCAAGAACAACAGTTTGTGACATTGGTTTAAATAACGTAGGTAGGTGTAGACTACCTGATTTAGGTCCTCGAAATGTTAAGAATCAATGTCTGGAGACTGTTGGTGAAGTAACCCAAAGTCGTTCTCAATGGTACAGATGCATTCACTCTTTGTAATCTCCCAGATTCATTACACCTTTTGAGTGTTTCAAGTAATTATTCTTTCACCCCCACATGTTTTTGGTATAGTTTCTTCCCTACTTTTATGTGTGCAGCTTAAACTGTTGCATCTTCGTGCAGTTCTGTAGCGAAAATTTAGTTCACTTCAGTTCACATACTTCATCACTATTTGGACATTTATAATAATTTTTAACATACAGAGAAAGAGCCATGAGTGTTGTGATACACTTTTAGACTATTTGTTTACAAAATTTTACTTTTTTCAGTCAAAACATGTCTTGATCATATTTCACATATTTAATGAGAGCAGTATTAACTAGTACTGTTGCTATTGTTTATTTCTCATCTACAAAACTACATGATGTATCCAAGTTAATAGCAATTTTATTTGTAATTGGCATTCTTATTATAATTATTTAACTGAAATATACCTTGAGAATAGATTCTATCAGAATTCACTAGGGATTTGTGGAGACGTGGCTCACTGGCTTAGGCACTCGATTTGCAATCAGTGACTGCTTGGTTTGATCACGTGCCCTGTGAAATTATGCTGTTAATGCTTTCTATCTATAAGTTGAAATTTTTGTAAAAATAATGTTTCAAAGAGCATTTTGTAACATGTAATTGATTCACTTATGATGTACTCAGTTGGAGAGAATCCACGAAGTAAATGGACCTCGTGTTATCCTGTAAATAATTTCGTTTCTGCTGTATTCAAAGCAATATAATCGAACGGCTGTATGAAATTGATTCTTGACCCAGTGATTTCTTTCCAACTGCATAATTATTGCAAAATGTCAGCTCATGTATTTGGTAAAGAGTAGTTGTTTTTAGCATTACTCCCTAAATACGTTGTGGGTGGATTTTACCTGAAACTACAGTATTTCGAAGATATTTTAGTATAAAATTTCTGTTAGCACTAAGCGTGTCTCTCTTTCCACGTCAGTATTCTATATCCCTGTAAATCGAATCATAGCGAAATCCGTGTACAGTGTATGTTGTGAAGTAAAGGCAGTTTTCCGATGCGTAGACTTTAGTCTTTTTCTCGAACACGCGTTCATAACCACTGCCAGGTAAGCTCTATTCACTGCTCTCACGTCTGGGGGAGGGGTGCTACTCATAAAAGCGAAGGGTTGAATGCGAACATCCGGAGTCTAAAGTCAGGTTGGTGGACATGCTGGTTTACTGAGGGGATGCATAAGTCACTGATTCGAAACCTATGGTATAGATGGGCTCCAGAATCGGAAAAGGTTGGATGTCTTATGAACTTGTTTCGGTTAGCATCATCCATGAGAATGTAGCTCTCGACACTGCCTCACTACCTTGTGGATGAAGCTGCAAGCTAAAGGCTCGGGGAGGAGGCGACAACTGCCTGGTTCAGTCCTGGCGTCCGCGAATTATCCCAGCGCTTGGACCAACTGTGAGATTTTGTATGATGCACCTCTTCGTGCCCATGGTGAAATTAAAAGTAATGTGCTGGATAGGAAGGTTATCACTGTAGCGCAACTATTTCTGTCTTAAATCTGTGAATACATAAATTCGATACTAATATAATAATAATATTTACATTGGTATGGTATTAAATTATTATTCTATTTTATACATCATGTGATTCCTGTTTTGTTTTGCATTAGTAGGCTTATCGCTATGCAAGAGTTTTAAAGGATATGCTTTCGTACAAAGTTTGCTTGTACTTCTTAACAATGTTACAAATGATTTTGAGGGTATTACCTTAAGACATATGACTAATCAACTTTATTTATAAGTATGACTACTAAAGCGTCGAATGATGGTTCCCACTTTTGATCACAAATTGACTTCTTCAGTCATAGAACCATTATGAACCAAGGAGTAAAAATACTCGCCAACGATATCAGCTGACGGTGGCCCTAAAATAGAGAATCGACAGGATTTAAAATTCACGGGTTATTGAATTCTGGCCCAGTTTGCTGAGTGGTCAACGAGGTTGGTCTCGTAACCTGAAAGTCCTTTGTTCGATCCCTGGTGGGGTCATGGGTACCTGCTGTTGAAGAGTCACAACCATAAGAAAACAGATGTCTAGTGATCTAAAAGACTGTTTATCGAACAAAGAATATTCTTTCCGATAAATTCTTCATCAAGTTCATTATCAATAAACCCACGGCCTGGAAAGTCGAGAAGAATTCTTTTGTAGGCCTCCGTATACACGACTACAATTCATAGGTAATATTTTCCAAACAACCGGCTGTGATTCCGAAACTGAAAGACGAAGTACCCTTCTGTCGATTCAACTGCTCCTCTGGATCCGGTTATACTGGCCGTTGCTATAAAAACTTATTTTTTTTCGTGCTCGGAAACACCTACCAGTGTGGCTAAATAAAGATGCTAAAATCGTCAACAGTTCTATACTAGATCACCTCGTCCAAACAGGCCACCCAAAAATCTTTCTCTCTTATCAATCGGATATCGAATAAATTACTAAAAGTCTCTAGATATGGAACACACCAAACAGCAGAGCACATTACAATTCGATTAAACCAACCGGAGCTATGTGTGCAAAAACAGATCCAGTCATTACCGCTACTCTGGCCTGCTGCCGAGCCTATAAATTCACAAATTCTGTGATACTTCTCTCAACTTATATGATATTCAGTTCAGTGTTATGTCATTACATACTGTCTCTTACTGATACTTTGGAAATGTAATCTGTCGATACTATTGGTCCAATGTAATTCAAAACTTTAATGTTATTTAATTATAATGATCATACAAGTGTTGAACTTGATGAATTTATCGAAAGGAATATTCTTTGTTCAGTGATCAATCTTTTACATTTCTGATAGGCATCTGGAATCAACTAAAATGTCCAGTAATCCCTGATTTTCAATGGTTCTCCTGCTGATATCAATCAAATCCCTGCAAACCATACCGGAAAACTGAGGTTTTCTGATACATACCAATTAAACGGGTTAGAATAAAAATAAGGTTCAGATTTAGCGTTTTAATAGTCCGATGGAAAATTAGTTCTTTTTTAAAATTTATTTCATGTGTTTGTGAGATATCACATAACATTTGTTTCTGTTTTATTGGTAAACTATATGTGTATCTTTTTTGACGTGCTTGTACAATTAACGTGTAATATATATATATATATATATATATATATATATATATATATATATATAATTATAGTTTTTGCATTATTTAAATCTAGGTACAACACTGTCAGAAGTTACCACCCAAAAATTTTGTACTCTCTACTTTTGAATTACACAAAAATCCAGTTACTTCTCACATTTTCTATGATTCGTTACTTCCTATACTTCTGTCAATACCAAGTAAGTTTTATATTTAATATGTGTTTCAACTATAAAATCTTTAAGACATTCAGTTTCAGACTTACATCTGAGAGACGTCTCTCAACTTTTCGTTATGATTTTATTTTATTTTCATTTTTATATTTTTCAGTCCTTATTACTCCAGTTATGTGTCTGTCTTCCTGAAATTGTAACTTCTTTAAAATATCCGGTTCATCAACACTGCAAATCGACTTTGATTCACATTATGCTACATTAGTTTTGCAGTTAACTGTATAGAAGGGGATGCTTAGGATAAATGCTCGATGTTTTACGTAAAGTGAAGTGGTGGTTTCAATGGCTCAATTGTTGAACTTTCTTCCAATTGAGGGGGGAGTAATGTTAGCATGTCATCCCACTTACTTACTTCAACCTGGGCAATTGGGTAGCAAGTATCATTATCCCCCATGCAATATAGACGGCTCATAGGCCCGAGTAACTGAGTTTTAACTGTCACACTTTTAAATAAAGGACTGAAGTCACTTACTATGACTGAGAACGAGCGTCGATTATAGTTTTTGAAATATCTTGGTTAATTTTAGCCGTCAATGATTTTGACCCACCATGTTTACTTAAGTGGAAATGTAAGTTGTTGCAAAGTCAACGTTAACTGGGTCGAAATGTAATACTGGTTGTTAGTTTTAATTAGCTAAGAAAGCGTAGGATATTCTAATGATCACTGTAGAATAGACCTTTCGCCGAGTTTGGGATGCTTTCCCTTATATTACTTGGTGTTGCGAATTTTGATATCAATCAATACGTACACCTGTGGTTTGCACACTATCGTTTCTTCTAGCAGAAGTTGGGACGCATCAGAGCTCAAAGAAAAATTAAACAGAAATAGAATCATTGATATAAGTATAGAACTTTGGCACTGTGGTAGAGCATAACTTCATTATAGGTAAGATTTTATTTTGATAAATCACACAGTGTTATGCAGTAATATTAACTGATGACCAAGTTTCGAGCACAAGCTATTGCTCATAATCATATCAAGTCACACACAACTGTTTTCTATATTTATATACATGAGTGGAACTGATCAGACATTTGAATAAAATCAATATAAGATAGAGTACCTTCTGAAATATTTATATGAGCGTTATTGATCGAATACAATTAAATGGGAAATAAGACGAGTGTTTTTATAGTCAAAATAAGTAACTTGTTAGAATGTTATGATATGCTTGAACTGAAATAGAATTTTAAGATTATTTGTTATCCTCCTCTGATTTGACTGACTGGTGGTAATAATATCTCCCATATCTCTGGTATTTGCATTGAGTCATAATACGATTAATAAGTATGAGCATAAAAGGGGAATAATAATTTCAATAAAGGTTATTTAAACTATTCAAACTCCCGAAAATAAAGATGTGCTAATACACCTGCCCATTACGACTACTTGAGCGCCATTTTATTCATAGTCATCAAACCTTAGATATTAATATACTGATGTTCATAGTTGAAGAAACTACCCTGTATAGCTCGATTGCATAGTTTGGTGCCATTTTTTGATCTGGTCACTTTTAGGAGTGGTAATTAATAAACTGCTCATTGGAATCAATTGCACAGTCAGGAAAAAAAACTAATTTTTTCCACAAATTCATAAGATACAATTTTGTATGAATTAATTCAACATTCGTCCTGAATTCACAAATAGGAGTTTAGTGAATGAGTTTGTCCCTGTAGCCTGAGGGTTCAGGGTTCAAGCCATGGTGGGGTCGTGAGTACTGAATATTTACTAACTAGGACGAAATAACTGTCAAGTACTTCAGTTTGTGATCAAACTCAAAACAAATCAAATCATTACAAACTTACCCTTGTGAGAACTCACAGTTGGTAACTGTCCTGTGAGCTTTGTTTGATGAAAGTTGAATGTGTATCAAATGTTGGTTCTGACTAACATTTTATTCCTAAATTTGATGGCCTAATCAACTGAAATTTCCCATGTGTTGCTGGATTTGACTGAGCAAGCACCAAACTATTTGGTGATTCCACCACTTTTTCTATCTAAATATATTCATAGGTCGATATTACTGTCCTCAAGTTACAGGTACCTGACCATGAATGACTGTAAAGCGGTAGTCGTTTGAACAGTTATAGTACCATGTTTAGCTAACCAATTCCAATGGAATAAAACAGAAGCTAGTGGAAATTCAGATGAAAAAATGATTCGTTTTGATACAACAAGTTTGTACGATAATATCTCAGTTAATACAGCTATGGGGGCGATTAGGAACTAACTGGACATAGCTGCTGAACTCATTAATGGGACTAAGATCTCGGTTGATAAAATAATATCAGATATTTAGTTATGTTTAACCTCCGCTGCATAGAAATTTCAAAATAGAATATACCAACAATTGAACATGGATGGCAATGGGTTCACCAATATCCCGAATAGTAGCAGACATATTTGTGGATGGGTGGGAACATAAATCTCTTAGAACGTTTAATCCTGCTCCTAGGTTCTAGTGCAGATATGTGGATGATACATTCAATATGTTGAAATCTGAACACATCCCGCAGTTTTTTTTACACATATAAGCTCAATAGTTGACGGAATCCAAATTCACTTCTGAGTTAGAGAACGAACAAGGTGAGTTGGTCATGCTAGAAATAAAACAGGGTGGTAGGTTAGATATTAGCATTTATAGGAAACCAACATACAAATAAATAGTTGGACTTGAATTCATCCTATAGAGAATCGGTAAAGATAGGTTTAGTTCATTGTCAGTATAACCGGGCTAAGAGCGTAACTAGTAAACCAGAGATTTAAATAATGAAATCAAACAAATAAAGAAAATATTACGCGCGAATAACTATCCATAGGAAGAATAAGATTACTAATGAAAATGGTAAAAACAGCATAAATATTATAGAATTCAAAGCCTCTGTAGTACTGTCGTATGAAGAAGAAACATTAGCAGCCTTAGGTATGATTTTTAGTGAGTCTAGGATTAGGGTGGCATTTAAACCGACTACTCTTTCAGAGATAAACTATGTCAGCTTGAGGACTCGATAGATCCGAATTAGAAAAAATAATGTAATTTACCAAATAACGTGTAATGAATGTCAGTTCAAATGACACAGGTCAAAGTAGTAGATCAGGATCAATTAAATTATCGGAAAATAAAAATCTAGTTGGACCTAAAATGATAAGTTAAATAATCTAGAAAAAAGCTCGGTCATTGCAATTCATTCACCTACATGTGATCACACAATAGGGTAGGACAGGATGAAAGTGTTGAAAGGTGAAATAGTTACATGTTGAGGGAGGTTAATTACTGAATCTTTCTTTGTTTATCGACTCAACACCGCATAATTACAATCGAAATGACACAATATGTATACCACAGAAATGAGAAATTGCAACAAACAACTAGGGGAGGGGAGAAAGAGGATATATATATATATAGTAGGCTAATTATGAAGCTGTGTGTATATAATACTGATATGATTATAAGCAATAAATTGTGCTCGAAACATCCTCCAGACATTAATAACACTATATCATAGTGTGTTATTTCAAATACACCTATCTAATATGGAATTGTATTCTACCCCAGTGCTGAAGCTCTATCCCTACTCCGTATACTTTAATGACTAATTAATATCACTTCAAAGCTGGATAGTTACTTAGGGTGTCTATATGTGCAATATATGTTGACAACATAGATCAGTTGGTAACCCCTGTTGTCAATCTGCATTGCACATACATAAGCACCCTAAATAAGTGTACAGCTTTGAAGTAAAGTTAGGAAAAGAGATCTCTTTCCTGACTCATGTGATCTTAACCACGTAATAAAAAAATCTTCACTTTATTGGATTCAAAACTTGCGTAAATTTAGCATTCATTATACTTCCTGGTTTACTGTACTACATGATTTAACACCGTATTAGGCTGTGCCACCAACACTGACTACAAATAATGGAGTCGGTGTTTGATTACCTTTTTTGCTCACTATATGGATAATCCGACTAGCAGTTGGACTATACATCAAAATTCATTTTCATTCCACATAGACTTCAAGTAGTGTGAACGAATATATTAAAAACCAGTCTATATATATATATATATATATATATATATATATATATATATAAGACTGGTTTTTTTGACTGAATTTCCTTCCTATCGATTTACAAGTGATCTTTTGCTTTTGGCAATAAGCGTTAAAAGCAACAATAACAATTAATTTCTGAAATAAGAGTTGTTCCGTTACGCGTGCTAAAGCTTTCTTTTCATTGTTCTGATTATTATTCTCACTTCTACTGCTTGTAGGTTATTTCTACTCACTTTTTAATTTATCAATAAATGTTAGTAGATTTCAGTCCAGTAGAGATATTTGTCTACCAAACGACTGATCAATACAGCGATGAAATTATCATTATCATTCCCACCAAATACCTTAAGTTTTTGAAAGTAAACCTCTTTCTCTTAGCATATGATTGTAGGGAAATTATCGAAAGTTTAATCGATAGGACTTTTTTGAGTCTCTCTATGGCTAGGCAACTTTCATGGTGTAGAAAAGAAAAACTACGGGTTATAAATAAAATATTCTCGTTTTGATGAATTTATCCGCTAAATTCTAAATTTATATATATATATATATATATATATCGAGAAAGTCGAATATTCCTAAAATATTTCCTGTCACTTATCCGAATTCATCCTATAAGGTTGGTAAAATAAACTGTCTACATTCCAGGAGTTAGTTTGTAGGGATTTGATCAGTTTCAAGTTTCATCACTGATTGAAATCAGTTAGAGAACCATTGAAAACTAGGGATTATCAGACAGCTGCGTTATCCTAATTTTGTGACTCTTCATCATTCCTCAACCATTGCTGCACCAAGGATCAGAGCCAGGACCTCCAGGTAATTAGGGGAGCTCGTCGACCATTCAGTCACTGGGACTGATATCAATCAGTAATTAAACTTAAAATTGGTCAAACCCCTATAAACTAAATATTGAGA